ATTATAATGTGTGGATGATTTATGAGATGAATGGGGCCGGGGGCTGAGCTGAGCTGAGGGAGTGGCAGGCGGGGGCTGAGGCCTATGTTTGATGACGAATACAACATGTAATTCGCATATACATGACAAATGACTTGCCATTTATGGGGCTGGCAACAGCAACAACAACAACAAATTGTGACAACGTTGACACAAATAAAAAGAGCCAAATGTATCGATAATCATTGTAAAATCAGATTCGAAACTCATGAGAACCAAGCAGCAACAATAATTAAACCTATGAGGGAAAGAGAGAGAGAGAAAGCGATAATGACAATTTGCAATGATTATTTTCATGTTGCAACTGTTTCATTTGCCGCTGTTGTTGCATGCCTCACAACTCGACCTAAATACTGAAAAGATATAAAATATCTTGAATGACATACTCTACAAGAATGAATAAAGATATATCCATTAAGCATGAATATTTTTCGGTATGGTGCCCTTTATTCGACCTCTGCTTGAATTTGTTTTCAAAAAGTTTTTGTTTTCTCACTCTTTGATGATTTTCTGGTCAGCTTCATTAATCCATGTGGCCATTAGCTGCCATCGGAACGCTGATTTTTGAGGGGCACTGTGCTATGACGAAGATGATGAAAAGTTGCGCAACTTGAAAGTTTTTCATATGAAAATTTGGAAAATAATTAATAACCGTCTGTATAAAACATTTGTTTATGTCTGATATAGGATATGAAAAGTTTTATACAGATGTTAATGGGGGCTACGGCAGCTATGTGTATGTGAATAGTGGACTTAAGTGTGATTATATACAATTTAAATACGTATGAAAGGAGCACTAAACTGGAGTTGGAGAGGCGGATGATCCGATAGACGTGTGATCCATCCGCCTATCGGACCATCCGCCTCTAGTATGGCTACTTTATAGAGACTGGCACGTCTCTATCTATTTATTACATATACAGTAGAGCTCAGACATAGGGGATAGGGGATAGGGGAATCAGTTTTTGCTTCGATTTACACAGAAATTACATATCGGGAGCGAATTTCTTTAAAGGGGATCGAATTTTTGTCGATCTATTGCGATTTTTGATTAAGCGGGGTTACATATTATCGAGACTTGACTATATTTTTACAAAGTCAATTCTGATTATCTATTTTCAATGTCTTCATTGGGTCTTGAAGAAGTAATAAAAGTAGTACCAAGACCCCAATATCTTACCTATTCTTTATTCAAGTTAATAATGAATTGCAAATAAATTAAAAGTGAGTCACTTACAATTTTGGCCTTGGGCCTTTGGCTTCATATACAACCGGGAGGGTTAAATGAAACTTTTGTTTACTTTGTTTGGCTTAACTTAAATTATAATTAGAATTAGGTCAGAGTTAACAAAACCAAACAGTAGATACAGGTAAATTTAACAAGCATACACACACACACACACTCATACACACCCTCACACACACACACATACTCATTTTCAAGCCTTTGCTTTGATTGTGAGTTGCACATTTCAGGATTCACCTCATCCAAATGCCAATTTGCTTTGCTATTGCGGTCGTAAGGGTGTGTTGTGTATATGGGTGTGTGTGTGTGTGTGTGTGTGTGTGTGTATGTGTGTGTGTGCCTGCTTGGAACTGAGAAACCTTTTTACAATTTATAACAGATCTTGTACAATTTCCTACTCATGCTCTGGGGGCCACGCATACTTCCGCCTTTAAACAGCAACAATGTTGTTGTTGTTGTTGCCATTGCTATTGCTGTTGGGTTTGATTTCCTGTTTTTGGGCAAGCGCTTTTAGTTTGCCATTTAACAAACCGCAAGCACACATTCGTCACCTAAACTGAGGATTTGGCCAGCGGGCAGAGGGCAGAGGGAGGAGCCGTTGGCATTTGCCTGCTTGTCGATTTCTGTTGTTGCCACTTACAAATTGGCTTCTGGCCACAAAATGCCCCCGTTTGGTCACAAGCAGAAGCCACAGCCACAACAGCAGCAGCGCCAGCGCCAGCGCCAGCATCTAATAAGCCAAAAGGTCAAACAGTGTTGCCAGAGCAAAGCAGAGTAAAGAGAGAGAATCGTGAGTCCAGAAAACGCTGCAATTTGGTCGACAAACAAACTTTGAATGCCCGGCACGAAGGGCACATCCTCATTGCGAGGAATTCAGTTTTTAATTTATATGTTAATCATATCGAGCTGGCGCCGCGAACGGACCAGAGCCAGATGAGCCTGAGCTGTCCACACGGTTTGATTATGAAAATGTCATGTAAACAGTCAACAGGGCTGTTTGTTGGCTAAATGAATCGAATGCTGCCAGCGAACGCCTCGAATGCAATTTGGCCAGCTCATTGTCTATTTTGATTTCCGTTCTTTAATGAGACACAAACAGCAGCAACAACAACAACAGCAACAACAACAATCTCTGGCCCTGACAGACGCTGAGCACTGCTTTTGTGTGCGCGCTCATCAATGCGTCTAACGGTGCGTATACATAACTGAATGATAATCATTGAATTCGAAATATATTGATTCATTCGGCAAATATTATATTTAATCTTGAGCATCAAAGTCAAGCAATACCTCCACAATTCAATGGAATTCAATATAAAAAAAATAAAAGTAAAATAAAATTTCCTCTTCTGGTTTTTTTGACTCTCTCTCTCTCTCTCTCTCTCTCTCTGGTCTGTCTGGCCTAATGCCATTAGCAATTTAATTCAGTAATTTGCTTGAGCTTGTTTATTTCTTTCCGAGCTATTTATGTGTTTAACAAATATTATTGAGGCCAGGCATGCGGCAAATTGTGCACAATACTTGACAATTCAATAGGTGAAGCCAGCGAGCAAATAGAGCGCAAATCGTAATAAATAGCAGACAGTGCAAATATGTACTTCTATATATGTATATGTGTGTGTAGAAATGTATATACTAGAGATCGGCAATTAGCTTCGCTAGCGAGGTTTTTAATGCAGACATCATTAAAGCAGCCCCTGCAGCTGATGAAGCTTATATGTATATGTACATACATATACATATGTATGTCGGAGCTGGATCTGGTTGACTGCTTTCCATATTCAGATATATATATGTATATATATATACATATATGTATAGCTAGCTAGGCTCTAAGACGAGTTGCATGTGTTTCTTTAGCCTCTTTCTCTCACCCTCTCTCTCTCTCTCTCTCTCTCACACACTCTCTAGCTCTATCTCACTCTCTAGCTCTCTCTCACTCTCTAGCTCTCTCTCACTCTCTCTCTCTCACTCACTCTCTCTCTCTCACACACTCTCTAGGTCTCTCTCTCTCTCTCTCACTCTCTGTCACACTTTTCGTAAGAGACCTACACGCCATCTCTTTCTCTTCTTGAATTCGGCTAACAAAGCGCCCTTCTATGTGATTCTGCTCTGCTTTAACTGCACAATAGATCCACAGCTCAACTTTGACCTTTGATCCTTTGTCTATTAAATTTGATGCGAGCCAGCAAGAGTGATAGTAGCTTCCATAATTACACTTTAGGCTCTGCTTAAGTTATCGATAACGATAATTTAATTCGATTTTTTTGCAGTGTACTAAGCATATGCAAATAGTGGATATGCTACTTTCGATTAAACTTTGAAACGACCCAGCAACAGTATTAAAAGTTTCAAAAATTAATTTCCATTTTGCTTAAAATGATTTGTAGTCATATAAGCAACCAAAAATTATAGAAAAATCGTAGGTATTTTGAGCAAAATTTTAGTAGAGCTCGAGCTCTTTGTATAGAGAATTGCTAACCTTCAGGAGAACGTACATAATAGCAGTCATGTCCAAGTATGTTTATCCCCCAATTGCAATGGACACTGAGGAGAAAGGGGAACTACTTGGTCGGAGCTGTGGCTGCAGTCAAACTGAGTCTAGAGTCTAGTCAAGAGCCAACATGACGATGACAATGCTGAGCCAAAGCACATGGCAGGCGTCCAGTTTCAAGACTAATGAGGGATTACTTCTAGTTCCAAAGTTCCAAAAGAGAACTAAACAATTCATATGAGCTCTAAGCTACTTGAACTACTTTGAATTGCAAGCAGCTCACCATCATTAGTTCAGTGCATTCATATAGCTGCCATGGCAAGCGCTAAAGCCAGAATCTTGTAAATATTATCCAGTTGAAGTGATGTGCTGATAATGACATGAATGCAACTGTGCAATAAAAGTAATATAAATAACGTAAATTTAAAAAAATGTTTGTTTTATAATCAATTCTTTCGCTCATTTCTGCTCAAGCAAGATTAATGAGTTTTCAAATTTTCTTAATTAAACTCACTGTTGGCATTCTCCTCCTTTATGTCTCCCCTCCCCCCTCTCTCTCCCCCTCACTGTATGCACTGACAAAGCCTCAAGCTGTGAGCCAAAGAGCTTTGCTCGCTCGCTAATCAACCTTGACTGGCAGGCAAAAATTATTTAAATGCACGTCAAGCAGAGATGAAAATGAAAATGAAATTGAAATTGAAATTGCTCAAAAGGATGTGAAAATTGCAGTTTTACGCATTCATTGGGGCAGAAAGCGGATGTCAGCAAGTGTTTGTGGTAAGCCGTTCGAAATTAAACAAGATTCAGTGATCAAAGTTCACTTGAAACATAATAATATTCGATGTGCTTTGCTCTACCTACCTACCTCTCCCTCTCTCTATCCTTTGACAATGGCAAAATGTTTGCTAAATGCCAATTGAGAATGTTTAAATTTCATTTGCATGCCATTGACTTCGAGTGTGTGTGCAGAGGACTAAGCTCGGCGCTGTTTAGCCAAATAATTTCTATTGACTTCGCTCAAGTTGATTTCAATTTGTCCACCTTGAGCCAACACAGTGGGAACAATTGATTGTGTGTGTGTGTGTGTGTTAACTAAAAAACTTTTAAAGCCATTTCAAATTGTCATTTTCATAGATTATATTGATATTACGGCTACGCATTCATTTTCAATTTTCTCATTTCTCTCTCTCTCTCTCTCTCTCTCTCTCTCTCTCTTTGCAGGATGAAAAGAATCAGCTGCTCATCACAAACATTTGGCTCAAATTGGTAAGTTTGAAAGTCGTTTAAACTTGAAGTATTAAACAATATGGAAAAGAAGCATTAGTCAAACTGAGTGGCTGCTCTCTCTACCTCTCTCTCTCTCTTTGGCGCACATATGAGTCTTGGCCAAAAGAGATTTGTTGCCATTCGAGCCATAAATTTGCCTCGGCCTAAGGCCTCAGTGCAACAAATGAAATTGCCGCAATTTGTCAAAAACCAACAAAAACAGCAACAAAATAAGGAAATACATATATATATATATATATATATACACTGCGCAAAAAAAGTGGCACTTGCCAAATTAAATGAGGGAGAGCTTGAGAATGAGAGAGAGTGAGAGAGAGAGAGCTAAAGAAATCACTTAATAGCTTGAGAGATGCGTAAATTGCGTAAATGCCACAAATGCCATCCAGCCATGGCATTTGTTTTCCCGCTCGCTTAGCTTTTCATGCGTTTTCCCGCACATTTTCCCATTCGCATTTGCATTCGCAAAGCCACCGCCACAGTCGTTCGCTGAGCCCGCAGCTAAATCCTTTCAATCCCACGTCTTTTCGCCATGCTCATCCAGCGAGCTGCGGGCGAGGGGCATGCGGCATGCGGCATGCGGCATGCGGCATGTGACATGTGGCAAGGCGGTTGCAACAAATCAAAGGCCTTGCCACCTAATTGGCAAATCATGCGGCAACATAATTAGCCCGCAAAATGCAGCTTACATTCAGATATAAATACATATGTATATATATTGAATCCCATCAGAATCGATAATAAACTCCGCTCGCTTCTAATGCACTAGGCACAAATATTTTCAGCATATTCGCCATAATTGCAATTGTCCAGAACCCAAATCTTGATTAAAATCACTTCAGAGTTTGTGCAAATATTTTGTCAAATTCTGCATGAAATGAAATTGGCAGATAGTAAAGCCAGCTGGGGACATAGCTGGGCAGAGCAGAACTAAGAGGAAACTAGAGTATGCTTGAGATAATTCTGATAATATCTGGATAGAATCGGAACGGAGTAGTCGGAGCACATTGCAAATTAGAAATCCATGCCATGTTGAAATGCATGCAACAAGCAAAAGAAGGCGTGGCAAGCCGCAAAATGACTTGACTCTGTTCGTCTGTATGTTTGAACGCATCAATCTCAGAACCCATAAGAGCTAGGGACTTCAAATTTTTGTTGTAGATCCTTGCATAGCATGCCCAATTTGAGCTTGTTTAAAAAAATCGATAACTATTACCATTTTAGAGCTATCGATTAAAAGGATTATCAGAAATCAGCAAACTCGTGTAAATTTTAAGCAATTTTGATTTTTGTTAGATTTGGACTAAGCTGAAAGAGTCTTGTATATTTTGTTGCCTAAGAATAAACACTGATTCATAAGTTAGATATCCGTCCAACAAATTAGGTACATTTAGGTATTCCTATTCCATCTGGGGTAACTAACGAAGCAGACATTAATTTTATACAATTAAGCAAATCGTATGAAGCTTCTAATTATTACTATTATTAGATTAAATCTATACACATACATATATTATGATATATATATGTGGATGGCAACACTTTCTGCCCAGACAGCACTTAAGACTTTCGCCATCAAATTAATTATAGTGCCTTTGGACTTACAGCGTCTGGGGCTTACTGGGCGTTCCGCTTTCGGGGGCAATCAGAGAAGCGTTTACGTATGTTTGAATGATTAATATTTGTAATTATGCGATAGGTAAATGGATGGCAATCGCTTCTTGTATTGATTAATCGCAGCGATCAAATGCAAACACGACAATTTCTGCACATTAGCAATGGCCAGCAAATCGATGCGCTAATCGCCTTAAGCGTCACAAAAGCAACAAATTTAATTACGATAACGGGCTATGCGCCAAAGAGTATACCAGAGCACACCAATACACACACACACACACACACACACACACAACTCTCTCACACAGACGCAGCCATAAATGCGCACTTAACGATGATTGATGATTAACACACCTTCCTGCCATTGCAAATGCCCGATCAATGGGACGAGGTGTGCGCGTGTGTGTCTGTGTGTGAGGGTATTAGAGACTGTGCTGTGTGTAATTGCGTGTGTGTGTGTGTGCGCGGCCTTTGGTCACGGCTAATTGATATTTTGGTTGATTAAAAACTCACGGAATAGGCTCCGGCTCTGAACAACGCAATTGATGCGGTGCTAAATACAGTTTGAAATTACAATTTGAAAACTTCTATTGATTGAGAAAAGCTTTCAGCATATTATACTGAAATATCTCTGCATTTTTTTAGTCTTATGATTTTGTTGTGTTAGTCTGTCAGTCTCTAAATCAGTCAGTCAGATGGATTGCCTTAACATTGTCCCTCAATCACAGCATCAATCATGTTTATCAGTGTGTCTGCCAGTCTACTAATCAATCACTTCGCTGATTGACTAATCAGTCAAATTCTTCCACATCAATCAGTTTGTAAATCAATATATTTTTATGTTGCTTAGTTTCTCAATCATTCAGTCAGTCTCTTATAAATTCAATCCATCAAATTATTTATCAACCACTCAATCATTATTCTCGGTTATATATTATTCAGTCAGTTAGTCAATCTGTCGCATTGTTAGTCATCAATCAAACGGTAATTCAATTATAAAGTTCACCAGTCTGGCAAGCAGTTATTCAGTCACTTACCCCATCAGTCACTCATGCAGACTGTCAATCAAATCAGTCAACTTAACTGTGAACCGTTTCATCAAATATTATTTCATTGACTCAATTAATCTACTGATGCCATACAATCTGTAACTTTTAAAGTCAATCATCATCAATCATTTTCCCATTGTTTGTCATGTGAGATCAATCAGGTGCGAATTGCCTCTATCTTGCACTAGCTCAATCAGTGATTCATTCAGTTTAGCAATCAAACCTCTCTCTGTCTCAAGATCATTCATTCAAACATTATGTCTGTTATTCAATCCATTGGGCAGTCATTCAATCAAGCAAACTTTTTAGTCTTCATCAATCAGTCATTCAATTAGTCTACCCTGTTTTTTTAGTTGTTCAATAAATCATTTATATGGACTTCCATTACACTTACCTTGGTACAATCGTATTATCACTTTAAATTGAAATCTCTTAAAATATCAAAATGAAAAACCCATTTGGTTAGCATAAACAATTTGCATCGTAAAATCGTTTCGATTCATTTCGCCTCGTTTTGTATTTGCTTTAGTTATTCCACAAATGGACTCTAATTAATTAAGTCGGGCGTCAGTGACAGAAATCCTTTTGTTGCTTGGCATTATGACCCGCTCTCGCTCCACCCACTTCTAAAGTAAACAAAAGGCCGCACATCAATTTACTATCTCAATGCATTAACATTTTCCTTTTTCTTTTTTTTTTTGTTTGTTTCTGTATTTTATAGGAATGGAACGATATGAATTTGCGTTGGAATTCCAGCGAGTTTGGAGGTGTCAGAGATTTGCGTATACCGCCCCATCGATTGTGGAAACCCGATGTGCTTATGTACAATAGGTGAGTGCAAAGTATTGATCAATCTATTTGCATTATTGAAATACTGAGTAAAGCAAATAAAAAATAAATTCAAAAAGGTCAAATAAAAATATATACATCTATATCTTTAGTATTTCATAGATATTACGGTAATGTATAATGGATGTCGATAGAATCGAACTGAAAATCATAGTTATCATAATAAAAAAAGATTTGCCACAAGCCCAGGCAATATGTCCAAGCCCAGCAATTTACATATATAAAACTTTGATAAGAAATACACTCGAGTCTCGACAAGTCGTACTCCCCTAAATCAAAAATCGAGTTAAATCGAAAAAATGCAATTCCTTGAAAGAAGTTCATTCTCAATAATTCTCGATAATATTAATATCTGTGTGAATCGAAACAAAACTAATCCCCTTGCCATTTCGAATCTTCGGAACTCTACTGCAATAATATCTAAGACTATGTAGCGCACTATATTTGTCAACTCCAAGAAGTTGAAATAGAACTTCAGTTGTTTGTTTTTATTTTGATCTTAAATAATCTAATCAATCAATAATCAATAGCTCAGAAATTTCTTCTATTTCGCCCACACTTTAAGAAAGAACTCATAGAGCAGCTGATTGCGTTGATTCTTCCACGAGATCGTGATAAGCACATCAGAGAGTCCATCATCGTATCGCTCCCGAAACTATAGAGCGTGAGACGAATATATCAACCGAAAAGCAAAGTGAAGAGAAACGAAGACTGTTGCTCAGAGCGAGAAGATTGAATATGGTTTCTTTCAAATAACAGTTATTTGCTAATATCTTATTTCTAAACAGAGTCTACATAGATACCCATATTATACAGACTCACCCAGAGTTGGTCTATAGATCGCCAATCATATGCCTGTATTGTGCAGCATCTCCTAGAGTATATCCGCCTTGACTCTCTACTCACCTCACCCGCCTCTTCTCACCTCTAAATTAATTTATATAATCCCGTCCTCCTTTCTGCTCAAGCTACAGTAATAAAATTATATTATTTTCTGATACCTGATTACAAATCGCAGGCTGTCAGCATGTGCTGTCGGGTATTACCCAGTCGAGTCGACTCCCTGAGGCACTTGAGCACTCTCACTTATTTTCGACTCTCAAAAGGCTGTCAATTTCCAATTCTGACTTCAATTGGATTTCTCTCCTTTGTCTTCGTGTTTGCTCAATATGATATTGACTTAGATTTAAGATGCGAATCGAATTGAAGTCCCTTGATTTATGCACAGGCATTATTTAGCAAATGGCTTTTCACTTACTTCTCGACTGATTAAAGCCCAAAGGGTTCGCCTAATAATATCAACAATTGCAATTGAAAAAAAAAAACAAAAAAGGAAAACGGAAAACGAAAATAATAATGACATCAATGAGGACAGGCAATAAAAATGATTGCGACTCGATAAAGGAAGAACAAGAGCGTTGCCGCACACCTGAACTCGGCTGGGTGGGGGGCGAGGGGCAGGTGATGATGATGCTGCCACCTTGATAGACGGCAGCCAATTCAATTCGAGTTTCTACTCTGTTGTCTTTTGGTTTTCAGCTTCTTTTATGGCCACACTCCGCTCCTCCGCTCTCCTCTTCCGTCACCTCGCCGTACGATGCTTTATAATTCTGCCATAAACGAGAGGAAAAAATTCGAGCGATTATTGCTGTAGCCGTTGCTATTATTGTTGTTATCATTATTGGCTTTGTGGCTGAGGCTTTATTGCTTTATTCATATAATTTTATTTGCATTCGCAACTTGTTTCTCTCTCACTCATTCTCTTTCTCTCTCTCTCGCTCTCTCTCGCTCTCTCTTGCTCTTTTGATAATAACGAAATTGTGTTTATTTTGGAAAAATCCTTTTCATGTTTATGAGCTGCCATTTGTTTGCCAACGTTTCGGCCTCGTTCGCCCCCTTTGGCTCCCCCCCCCCCCTGCTTTCTCTTGTTGCGCTCTTTTGTTGTTATCAATTTTATTGTGTAATAGCGCTATCCTTTCTGCTGGCCACGCTCAAGCCCCAATTTATCCCAAATTGTATGCGTGTGTGTTACATATATGCTTATGTGTATGTAAATATGTTCAAATTTGCTAAAAATTACGTGAGAATACACTGAAAACAATGCGGTAGGCAATGCGATATCTCCTCACGTTTTTATGGCAATTTAATGTATTGTAAAAAAATATCTAAAATAATAAATTAAAAATATTTACATAGCTAGCGAAAACTTTATTGATAATTAATTGAATTAAAATAAATATTAATTATCTACGGATTTCTTTCATCTCCTTCTCATTGTCACTCCCTCCATCTCTCTTTCGCTATCCCTGTCTTTATACAGCTATCATTCTCATTCTCCCGCTCTCTCGTATTCGTATTTTTCTTCAATTGTCTCTCTCTCTCTCTCTCTCTCTCTATCTGTGTTTACCTTCCTATCTCTCTCTCTCTCTTTTACCCACTTATCTCTTTCTCTACTCCTCCCATTCTCCAACAATCTCTCTCTGCTTACTTCCACATCTCTCTTACATAAACTCTCAATTAAAGACAGAAAGAGAGACAGAGAGAGTGAGATAGAGAGAGAATAGGGAGACATCTCTATTGCTGCTATTCAGCATTCAGGCCAACTACAGCAGAATTGTTTTCAGTGTAGTCACGGCTAGCTGAATTGATGAATTTGGCATATTTTGTGTGTAGTTCTCAAAGTTGGCCCAAAATTCGCTTTAAAGGCAAATACATATTTTTTTAAACATATTTTTATTGATATTTTTCAGCTGTGGTTCGGTTAAAAAGAGTGTTTAATCTATTGGCTGGGCAGCTGGGCGAATAGTCTTTAAATTTGGTTGGGCTTTTATGGCAAATAATAAAGAGCCTGAGTCTGAGTCGAGGCCGAGGCTGAGCAGCTGGCAGCGCAGTAAACGCACAAATTTTAATGCGTATTTGGGCAAGTTTTATGACAAAGTAAATGACTTGCTGGAACAATGGCCGAGCGGCCGGAGGAGCAATTAAGAGGCGGGGGGGCTGGCGCACTTAAAGGGGCGACACAATGCCAAATTGTAGCAACAGCAAGAAACACACACAAACACGCACACACACACAGTCGCAAAAGTATTTTATGATAGCTACTTGCATGTGGGGCGAGGTCTGGGCCGCTCAAGATGGCTGAGATTTTGATGATGTGACTACAATAGATGGCACGCCCGGCATAATGAATCATAATTTAACTGTTGACATGACCAGGCGAGCGAGTCGGCCAGAGCAATTCACAGCTGCGACAATTTGGTCATTTAGTGCCGGAATGGACAGTGCCGAGTGTAACGATATACCCGCTAGCACAGCGTGCGAATTGAGCTGGGTATAATTAATAAATATTAAATAAGTTTTGCCAGCTCTAAAAATATTGAACCGTACAAAATGAGCAAACGCCGCTCACGCATAGCCTATAGATTAATCATTAATCAGTGCCAGGCGAACGCACACACACACACACACGCACACACATGCGGCGGCAGGAGCGCGCAGCTGGCAGAGCAAAAATGATTTATGCTGAAAAGTATGCTACATAAATTTCCATATGCGCCGCGCCAAGTATTCGACTGTAAAAAAGGGTCTTATTAAAAGCGTCAACGTGGCCAGCACGAGACTCTAACACACACACACACACACACACGCACACACATGTATACTATACACACTCTCACATCCAGCCCCATATGAGATTTAAAGCACCATGACTTATGCATTGCCTTTGCATTCTGCTTGCAGCGCGGACGAAGGCTTCGATGGCACCTACGCCACCAATGTGGTTGTGCGGAACAATGGCAGCTGCCTGTACGTGCCGCCCGGCATCTTCAAGTCGACGTGCAAAATCGACATCACCTGGTTCCCCTTCGACGATCAGCGCTGCGAGATGAAGTTCGGCTCCTGGACCTACGATGGCTTTCAGGTGAGTTCAGCGGCAAACTAACACCCGATTACACCAGACACCAGACCTGCCTGGCTGCCATGCATATGCATGTGATATGTAACAGTGTGTGCGCCTGCAACGGGCAGCATGTAATAAATATGCTGTCAGCTCTCGCTGGGCGCTCGCAATTAATATAAATCCCAGGCATAAGTCAGAGCAACGGCGAGAATATTACAAATAAATTAATTACGGCCCAAGACGGAATCATCATGAAAGTGGAAGTCATAATCTGAGCTGATATTAATGACTTTCGGAGTGGCTTGAAAAGCGCAACGAAT